CGGAGCACAGGCTCCGGACGCGCAGGCTCAGCGGCCATGGCTCACGGGCCCAGCCGCTCTGCGGCATGTGGGATCTTCCCAGACGGGGGCACGAACCCTTGTCCCCTGCACCGGCGGCGGACTCTTAACCACTGCGCCACCAAGGAAGCCCCAAGTTGGACTTTTTAAAAACTATTTCACATGTAAGTGATACCATGCTGCATCTGTCTTTCTCTGTCTGACTTATTTCATTTAGCATCAATATATCGGCCTATAAAAGGCTACCTATATATTATAATAATAATTTTTGACATCAGTACATATCTAAAAGCAAAAATAATTCCTGTTGGCTAATTTATATGTACAGCTACTTATCTAATATGCAATATGGTTTTAAATAGCATTTCTTTAAGAAAGAGCTTACATATGGAAGGTTTTTAAATCTTTCTCATAAGACTTCTTGTATTTCTTTCACACTCTTCCCATTCTATTTCTGGGTCCTGCTTGATTAAAGTGTTTTATGTAACACTATACCCACGAGGATTACTGCCTTAGTTCTTCCTTTGGCCCTAGTGCTTTTGGAAAAAATAAAATTACGTAACAGAAGCTTGGCTCCCGGACAAAGGTATGTTCTTGACTTTCAGGGCTCCTTGGCAATCCTTTATCCAGTCCCAGTTTACTCTGCAGTGCGCTCTCCTAAAAACACACTCCGAAATGTTTCCACTGTCTCCAGCCCTGCGCCAGGGCCTGCCGCAGCCCTCTGCAGCTGCCATATGTTTTACCCTCAGGTTTCAATAGAAGCCCTACAACTTTTACATCTTTACATCAAAATGGCTTTCAGTCCTCATTCTCTTTATTGGTTCTCAGAGGAAGAAATGTCCCTGCTCCTTACCAGAGCCAACCCTTATGCTCTTCAACCAGTTGCATCAAACGTGTACATCCTCAGTTCCCCTTCCCCAGTCAGTGGCCACATAGCCTACAAATACAAACCATCCTTAACCTTGCTTTCCCCTCAGGTTACTTTTAGGTGGTCCTCTGTCTGTCTGGACCAATATTTCAAAATTGTAGTATTTACTCAAGAACTCACCCAGGCCTCCATGCTCTCTCCTTGCTGCCTCCCCTCCCCCAGAAGGTGTAGACACACCCTCCTCCCAGGTCTGTGCCCCCAGCCTCGGTGTTCTCTCTCTTCCTGAAATCCTGACCCCCTGTCCATTTGCCTGTGACTCGCCACGTGGATGTTTCCCAGGCCATTCCAGCACCCTACTCCAAGTTGCTATCCTTTCTCACCTGGACCCCTGCAGCAGCTTCCCCGCTATTCTCTCATCTCCATTCTTGACCTCTCCACTTCATTCTCTACGTGGAGGTCTGAGTAATCTTACTTTTATTGAGTTAAATTTCATGTACCATAAAAGTAACCATTTTGAAGTATACAATTCAGTGGCATTTCGTACGTTCAAAATGTCATGCAATCATCACCTCCATCTAGTCCCCAAACATTTTTGCACCCCCCAGAGGGAAACTCTGCACCCATCAAGCAGTCACTCTCATTTCCCCCTTCTCCCTATCCCCTGGAAACCACCAATCTTTCGGTCTCTGAATTTACCTAGTCTGAACTTCTCATCTAAATACAAGGTGACATTTCGGGCTTTTTTCACTTAGTATCATGTTTTTGAGTTTCACCCTTATAGCGTGTATAGTAGCGTGTATCAGTACTCGATTCCTTTTTGCGGCTGAATAACATTGATTCCATTGTATGGATATACCACATCTTGTTTATCCGTTTACATATGATGCACCTTCGGGTTGTTTCCATCTTTTGACAATTGTGGATAGTGCTGCTTTGAGCATTTGTGTACAAGTATTTGTTTGAATACTGGTTTTCACTTCCTTTGGGTATATGCGTAGGAGTTGAATTGCTTAGTCATATGGTAATTTTATGTTTGACATTCTGAGAAACTGCCAGACTGTTTTCTAGAGTGGCATCACTTTACATCCCCACCAGCAATGTGCGAGAGTTCCAATCTCTCTACTTGCTTGCCAACATTTCTTTCCATTTTTTCTTTTTCATTATAGCCATCCTAGTGAATGCAAAGTACTAGCTCATTGTGGGAGAACAATCTTTTTTAAAATGTAAAATGAAAACTTGTACTTACCTGCTCAACATGTTTTATTTTTGGCCCTTGCCTCCACTCCCTTTCTGCCCGTAGGATGAATTCAACCTAACACCATTTGGCCCCCTTTATTCCTGGTGTCTTCTCTTAACTTCTTGAATAAGCCTTGCTCTAGTCTACCTCAGGGCCTTTGCCTATGCTACTCACACTGCCTGAGACACTGCCTCTCCAAGCCCACCTCTCCCAGCCCCATCCCTCATCTGGATGGTTAACCACTGCCCCTCCTTCAGATCTCAGCTTCAATGCCACTTTCTCAGTGACTGCCCATGTGGCATTAGCTCACACTGTTACATTACTCTGTCGGGGGATAAAGGTGATTTAAACCCAAAACTGACAATGGCTGCTTCTGCCTCCTAACAGGGAGGGTAGCATAGTCCTTATCAATGGGAAAAATCCATCTTTATACTGGCCCCTTCCACTTACAGAGGGGAAAAAGAGGCTGAAACTCTGAATCCTCTGCCAGTTTTTTCTGTGCTGCAAAACCATGAGACTCTATTGCATGAAATTGATCTGTGTAGTAAACTGGGGTAAACAGAGCTTCTGAAGGGATTGGAAAACAAGAAGGTGGGAGATGTATAGGGAGTCTTAAGGCAGAAAGAGGACACCAAACTTAAAGACTCTGGGACCCACAGAGAAAAATGACCACTGAAAGATGCACTAGGCACCTAGTGACCAGGAGGCTAAAGGAGTGTTGGGTTTCAATTTGTATGTCACACATACACACCCATCTCCCCACAGCTTCACCAGAGTTTCATAAACACAAGCCTTGAGTGAGAATGAACCAAGTTCCCACCGGCCAGGACACAGCAGAGAGAAGAGGACAGTTGCGGGCGCAAGAGACAAGCAAAACAACTGACTGAAGCAAAAAAAAATCAGAGCCAGAGGCAACAAGAAACCTGAGGAATTCACAGAAATCTTGGGACAGTCATTGGACTTCTTACAGGACCTGGGATAGAAGCTCCAAGCCAATTTTACTTAAGTCTCCAAGCACAGTGTGACCTCAGCTGACATCTGGGTACCGCAGCACCATCTACTAGATGTCTCACACTCATCACGCTCTTGTTTTATTTCTGCCTTCCCCGCCAGACTGAGCTCTGCTCAGTCCTGGGTATCTTTCTTTCTTCGTACTGCATCCTGGTGCCCATCTCAGGCAGGCACCTAAAGATATTTGTTGAGTGAATAAACTTTTTTTCTGACCAGAATTTAAGGTGGTTTAAAAAAGAAACAAAAGATACTAAAATGGGATCATTTCTTATTTTTTATTTAGACACCCCACTGAACTGGAAATAGAGTGAAAGACACAGTTGAAAATGGAAGATGGCTAACATGATAGGAATCTAAGTTTATTTGCTAAAAGATTGGAAGAGATTGGAATTGGCTTATCAGAATGTTTCACAAGCACATCAAAATCAACCTGTCAACTGTAAAAATATCAAAAAGAACTAAAACCCTGTGCTTCTGACCTTGATGAAAAGAAGACTTTCTTAAACAGGGCCTGAAAAAGCAGAGGTCATAACTCAAAGACTGGTTTCATTTAAAATTTCTATGCTACAAAAGTAACAGAAAAGAAATTTAGTTGCAAAAACTAGAACAGACAAAGGCTTGGCACTGAGAAGAATAATATGTATTAAAACTAACCTATTCGTAATAATAACCTAATCAAACTAGTAAGCAAAGGAGAAGTCACCTAATGGAGAAATCAGGCCAGGAGTTCCTCTTCAGTGAAAAGAAAACATAAGTAGCAAGTAATCATATAAAGAAGTATTCGACCCTTCTAGAATTAATGAAATACAAATTGAAATGAGGTAAGATTTTTTTCACTTATAGATTGGCAAAAATTTCAAAGTTGTGTAACACTCTAATGTAAATTGGTATAGATACTTTGGTAAATATTAAAATTTAAATACACCCTACCTGAGAAATTCTACTCTGCATGTGTCTGACAGAAACAGTAACTTGAGTGTGAGGAAACTTGACAAATATGTTTACCGAAGCATTTGAGCATTTGCTGGAATGGAAAGAACTGGAAGCAATCTCAGTTACGACTAAATAAAATGTGGAATATCTATATCATGAAACACTATGCAGCAGTTTTTAAAATAAGGTGGATCTCTGCACAAACACAGTTATATCTACAAACATCTTGTCGGGTAAGAAAAGCAAGTTGCAGAGAGTTACGTATAATGTGGTACCTACTGTTTTGAAAATCACAAGAAACAATCTTACGTGTTTTCTGCTGGGACATATACATGCATGTGACTGCACAGAGCGGGGAAGACCTGCTCCAACAGATCCCAGTAATTATCTCCAGGTGGGAAGAAGGGGTGGCAGTGGCCAAAGGATATTAGACTTCTTACCTATAACGTTTCAAATTTTTGCAAGAAAAAAAACGTATGTTGTTTGTATTATTAAAATAATTTAAAATTAAGTGCATAACAGCAAGACACTACTGAGCAATGGAAAAAAAACGAACCGCTGGGACACACACATCATGGGTGAATGTCACAGGCGGTAGCTAAGCAAAAGAAGACCGGTGCAAAGAGTGCATTCGTAGCAAGACCATTGAGATGAAGTTCCAGAACAGGGAGAACTAGTCTATATGGGACAAGAAAGGCAAAGCTATGGTCTCTTCTGAGAGTGGGGAGACTGGTGAGGGGCACTAGAGGCGTAGAAAGATGTGGGTCATGTGAATGAATCCGTTTGTTAAAATTGGGCCGTTGTGATCTGTGCATTTTTGCGTGTGTAAAAAAAAAATTAAATTAACAAAACTATGCATAGTTTTGTGTCTTTCATGATACCATGTTTAAATTTTTTCATTTTGCCCCAAATTAGATCAGCCCTTCCTCAAACATGCTCATCCTGTTTCCCATCTCTGCCGTCCTCTCATTGATTACTGTTCACCCAAGCCCAGCCCAGACTCCAGACAAGAAGGACCCGGCAACTGTGGGCACCCCCCAGCAGCGATGGTTTGAGGAAAAGAGGGGTGTGTTCCATGTGTTGAATGGAGGTGGTGGGCAGGTGTTTTATTCGTGGAGAATGTGTGTTGTGTGCTGCGTGGCCAGTGCCATGAAGGAGACCCAGGACAGGAACTGTGAGTCATTTCCTGTGCTAACTAATCAGCATTTGTTTCGTGTTCAGGAATCAGTTTACAGAGATGGGAAGCAGAATAGATGAATAGGAAGATACCAGTTCAGCCTTTTAATTATGGAAAAGTCGGAAAGGGCAGAGACACAAAGCAAATGGGTGTGTGCTCTGGAGAGAAAAAGATGCCACCTTAGAACTGTTCTCTGTTGACCTTTAAAGGGCCACAGCCTTTTCTGATTAGGTCCTTTCTTCATATCTTACAAGAGCAGGATGTAAATGTGGAATTTCAGTAAAGAAGGGACCTATGCTCTGGGGTGGGAAGACAGACGGGGCAAATACCCTCCTTGCAGGCTGATGACTGGAATTCCTAACAAAGGATACGAACTTTCAACCAAATTAGTGATAAGATTTAAAAAGTAAAATGCTTGGGAGTTGTTATGAGGGTTAAACGAACCTTTGCATTAGGAAAAATTCCTGGCATTCAATGGCAGTCATAAACATTATCTAGAAGTTGTCGCATCAGCCCAAGCAAACTGAGATTGAGATTATTTTTGCTTTGTTCAAACATTTCTTAGTTAATTTTAGTTTTAAAAACTCCAACCTATCTTAATTGGAAGAAAAGACAAAGAGAGAAAACATTTTTACAACTTGGTCCAGATTGGTAGGGGATGTGGTAGTTTAGAGATGAAGGGTGTAAGCAGCCTGGAGACCCAGTCAGTCTCTGACATGAGGGAGGCTGAGACAGACAGTGAAACGGCACCGAGGCAAGAAGGCTAAGGGAAGCGTGGAGACCAGAGCACCTTTGCGTCACAGCCATCCAAGTTGTAGGCTCTTCCCTCTCCTCACTGTCTCATTCATTAATAGACTGGCTGGCTGACCCCTGGTATAAGAAGACTGGGTCCAAATCTATGCAGATACTTTCCTTTCTTTTTATAAATTGAAGTATAATTGATTTACAGTGTTGTGTTGTTTCTGGTGTACAGCTTTATATATATTCAGTTTTATATATACATTCTTTTTCATATTCTTTTCCACTATGGTCTATCACAGGATACTGAATGTAGTTCACTGTGCTATACAGTAGGACCTCGTTGTTTATCCATTCTATATATAATAGTTTGGATCTGCTAGTCTGAAACTTCCAATCCTTCCTTCCCCCACTCCTCTCCCCCTTGGCAATCACAAGTCTGACCTGTATTTCTGTGAGTCTGTTTCTGTTTCGTAAATAAGTTCATTTGGGTCATATTTTAGATTCCACACATAAGTGATATCATATGGTATTTGTCTTTCTCTTTCTGACTTACTTTGCTTAGAATGATAATCTCTAGGTCCATCCATGTAGCTACAAATGGCATTATTTCATTCTTTTTTATGGCTAAGTAATCTTTCTTATGGCTGATATATATATATATATATATATATATGTATATATATGTACATATATATATCACATGTGATATACGTATATCACATCTTCTTTATCCATTCACCTGTCGATGGACATTTAGGTTGTTTCCATGTCTTGACTATTGTGAATAATGCTGCTATGAACACAGAGGTGCATGGGATACTTTTCTTTTTTAATAGACAGATTTTTATTATGATAAAATACATGTAACATAAACTTTGCCATCTTAAGCATTCTTAAGTGTACAATTCAGTGGCATTAAGTACATCAGCAATGTTGTACAACCATCACCACTATCTATTTCCAAAACTTTTCATCACCCCAATGTGGGAGTACCTTTTACCTCCCTTGACTTACAAAATGATAACTCCATCATTGAATACTAGAGCTGAAGGAGCTTGGAGGCTATCATCAATCACCTCATTTATACAGATAAAGAAATTGATACTCATAAAGGTTTTATTCAAGGTCACAAAGCTAGGTGATAGCAGAGCTGGAACTCAATCCAGAATTCTTGATTCTTAATCAAGAGCTCAGTCCCCAGGGAGTTCTTTCTGCCATACACTCTATTCTGCTTCAACTATTTTTAGTCATTCAGATTAATTAGTCTAATGCAGAGGTCATAGTGCCAAATGCCCACCAAAGCCTACAGGCACAAGACAGACATTCAATAGATGCTTCTTGGATAACTGAATTACTACATCTGACAACCTGAAGGGGTTAATAAATCCCCCTATCTAACTGAGGACAGCCAACTGTAACATTATTGCCATATTGATTGCCAGTTTTTAAAAGAAAAGCCCAAAATTTAGATTTGTATGTAAAATGTCTTAATATTAAACACTATTGCTGTTTGGAGGCCGCAGTCATTATTCAGACTTCTGTACCTTCAGAAATCCAGGTGTGCTGTGTAAGAACCATCAGAGAAATATGAGTCCCCAGTAGCATGTAATAGATACTGGACAGATGTTTATTGGATAAGTGAATAAGCATCACGAATTCGCTCCATCACGTTTCCTCTTCAGGCTAGGACACTGGAGGTATTCAAGAAAAGCCTTTAGAAAAGATTCTTGTGTTTAATGGGAAGTTAGGAAGTCGACCAATGAAGTCGTTTATTTACTTATTCATTGATTTACTGACTCACGAATTTATAGATCATATATTGTATACCAGGCACTGTGCTAGATATTGGATATACGAAGAACAGGAATACACAGCCTTTGCCCACCAGGAACTCACAAGCTCTCATAAACAACTATAAGACGATGTTGTAACTTATTGGAAAGATGGTGCCCAGTGCAAGTGTAAAGGAAATGCACAGGTAGGGAGTGTTTGAGGGGCCCAGGGGAAAGGTGGAAGAGCTAGAAAAAATGAGAAACAGTTTACCAGTGACAGGCTGCAAATGGAGAGTGAAAAAGAATAGGTGGTTGGGCGGATGGCTATTAACTACTCTAAAATTTGACATTTCTCTTGTCTATATTAGGAGTGTTGTTCATGAGGTGTGGTGAGCCTAGTTGTTTAATTAACCTTTTACTCTACTTCCCTGAGAATACAGATATCTCTAAAACTTTATGTTTCTCTTCCCTTTTTAATGACTAAATGTAATAATTAGACAAGTATGTCAAGATGCATGTACAAGGATATTTACTGTCATATTATCTCATTTTTTTCAATAGTAAAGACTCAGAAATGAGAAAATCATAGAAATTTTATTAAAGAAGTTATTATGAAATGAACTACCTTGCAGTTATTTAAAATTGTTTTTCTTTTGTTTGTTTTTTTGCGGTACGTGGGCCTCTCACTGTTGTGGCCTCTCCCGTTGCAGAGCACAGGCTCTGGACGCTCAGGCTCAGCGGCCATGGCTCATGGGCCCAGCCGCTCCGCGGCATGTGGGATCTTCCCAGACCGGGACACGAACCCATGTCCCCTGCATCGGCAGGCGGACCCCCAACCACTGTGCCACCAGGGAAGCCCTAAAATTGTTTTTAAAGAATAAATAATTACATGGGGAAATGCATAAGATGTAATATTAAGTCTTGAAAAAAATACAAAATTATATGTTTACTATCAGAGTTAAAATGTGTATATGGAGAGAAGTTTGCATAAGAAAAGAGTTAGATCCCACATGCTGCGGAGCGGCTGGGCCCGTGAGCCATGGCCACTGAGGCTGCACGTCCGGAGCCTGTGCACCGCAACGGGAGAGGCCACGACAGTGAGAGGCCCGCGTGCCGCAAAAAAAACAAAAAACAAAAAACAAACAAAAAAAGAGTTAAAGTAAATATTCTAAAATATTAACAGTAGATTTTTTATTGTTGTAATTACAGATAGTTATGTTTTCCCCTCTATATTTCTTTATTTTTCAAACTTTCAACAATGACTATTATTTTCTTGGTTTAAAAAATATTAGTTTGCAATGTTATTTTGGGTGCATATTGGGTTATCCGTCCAGCCAGACAACTTGTCTGGGAAGTGTCCCCAAACTTTCACTCTAGATCCACAAAGTCATTGAAGTGACTCCTAAGACCCAAGAGTGTACAAAAAAAACCCTGTCCCCTTGGCTACAGTCAGTTGGGCCACAGGTGGGCATCTGACCCAGGCTAGGCCAGTCAGATTATATTTACTGAAAATTTGGAGATGAAAATGATTCACAAATCAAGTGTCCTTTTGAAAGGAAGAGATAAAAACGAGAGCTGGAGGGTGACCATTTTTTCTCTTTGTAAACTAAGGAGTAGAAAAAAGTAGTCCCCAGAGGAGGAAAGAATATTGCCAATGTGCAGAGAGAAGGAAGGGAGAGACAGCAACCAGGTGGGGTCAGATTCCCATGACATGTGACCCTACCTCTCGTCCTTCCTGAGGCCCTCAGTGCTACCCTTAAATTCCATGAGACAGCTCTATGCCTTACAAGAAATTTCCCTTTTTTGCTTAATCTGAATTGATTTGGATTTTATTTCTTGAAACCTAGGGGTCTATCTAATACAAATATCTCTGGTAGCATAAGGAGAGAAGCCAAGCTCCCTGAGAGAGCTTCAAAATGACACTGCTACTCTGTGAGGCCAAGGACTGCATTTCTCAACTGGGGTTCCCATCATCTGACCCAATGTCAGGTACAGGGCTGGTGCATGACACAAGCTCACTGAGTGACAGCCTGCAAGAATGAATGTTGTATTGCTCTGCCTTTACCCTACCTGGTCTACATTGCTACGTAATAATTAGAGTGTATCAGGGGTAGTGAAAGGACATTTCCTAGCGCCCTTCCGTTCTTCTTATAGGAAAAGTGCTCAGTATATGTGGCCTGGGAAACATCATCTTTTGTTCAATTCCACAATAATTTCATCAGCACTCAAATTCACTTGTAATTAAAGGTTAGGCATAGCTGAAAACATCTCTTTCATTGCTAACGGGCAAAAGGCCTCATTTGGAAAATACAGAAAGTTTCTTATCAAAGCAAAAGAATACAAATTGACGTATAAATGTAATCAGAAGGCACTTTCTACAATTTATTATTCATCTGTCAGACAGTCAAGAGCAGCCACAGGGTGTAACGTGCTGCCAAGTCATTCTCTATTTTAAACATGGTGAGTTAGAGAAAGTGCAGAATC